ACCACCCTCACCACCCTCACCACCCTCACCACCCTCACCACCCTCACCACCCTCACCACCCTCACCACCCTCACCACCCTCACCACCCTCACCACCCTCACCACCCTCACCACCCTCACCACCCTCACCACCCTCACCACCCTCACCACCCTCACCACCCTCACCACCCTCACCACCCTCACCACCCTCACCACCCTCACCACCCTCACCACCCTCACCACCCTCACCACCCTCACCACCCTCACCACCCTCACCACCCTCACCACCCTCACCACCCTCACCACCCTCACCACCCTCACCACCCTCACCACCCTCACCACCCTCACCACCCTCACCACCCTCACCACCCTCACCACCCTCACCACCCTCACCACCCTCACCACCCTCACCACCCTCACCACCCTCACCACCCTCACCACCCTCACCACCCTCACCACCCTCACCACCCTCACCACCCTCACCACCCTCACCACCCTCACCCACCCTCACCACCCTCACCACCCTCACCACCCTCACCACCCTCACCACCCTCACCACCCTCACCACCCTCACCACCCTCACCACCCTCACCACCCTCACCACCCTCACCACCCTCACCACCCTCACCACCCTCACCACCCTCACCACCCTCACCACCCTCACCACCCTCACCACCCTCACCACCCTCACCACCCTCACCACCCTCACCACCCTCACCACCCTCACCACCCTCACCACCCTCACCACCCTCACCACCCTCACCACCCTCACCACCCTCACCACCCTCACCACCCTCACCACCCTCACCACCCTCACCACCCTCACCACCCTCACCACCCTCACCACCCTCACCACCCTCACCACCCTCACCACCCTCACCACCCTCACCACCCTCACCACCCTCACCACCCTCACCACCCTCACCACCCTCACCACCCTCACCACCCTCACCACCCTCACCACCCTCACCACCCTCACCACCCTCACCACCCTCACCACCCTCACCACCCTCACCACCCTCACCACCCTCACCACCCTCACCACCCTCACCACCCTCACCACCCTCACCACCCTCACCACCCTCACCACCCTCACCACCCTCACCACCCTCACCACCCTCACCACCCTCACCACCCTCACCACCCTCACCACCCTCACCACCCTCACCACCCTCACCACCCTCACCACCCTCACCACCCTCACCACCCTCACCACCCTCACCACCCTCACCACCCTCACCACCCTCACCACCCTCACCACCCTCACCACCCTCACCACCCTCACCACCCTCACCACCCTCACCACCCTCACCACCCTCACCACCCTCACCACCCTCACCATCCTCACCACCCTCACCACCCTCACCACCCTCACCACCCTCACCACCCTCACCACCCTCACCACCCTCACCACCCTCACCACCCTCACCACCCTCACCACCCTCACCACCCTCACCATCCTCACCACCCTCACCACCCTCACCACCCTCACCACCCTCACCACCCTCACCACCCTCACCATCCTCACCATCCTCACCACCCTCACCACCCTCACCACCCTCACCATCCTCACCACCCTCACCACCCTCACCACCCTCACCACCCTCACCACCCTCACCATCCTCACCACCCTCACCACCCTCACCACCCTCACCACCCTCACCATCCTCACCACCCTCACCACCCTCACCACCCTCACCATCCTCACCACCCTCACCACCCTCACCACCCTCACCACCCTCACCACCCTCACCACCCTCACCACCCTCACCACCCTCACCACCCTCACCATCCTCACCACCCTCACCACCCTCACCACCCTCACCACCCTCACCATCCTCACCACCCTCACCACCCTCACCACCCTCACCATCCTCACCACCCTCACCACCCTCACCACCCTCACCACCCTCACCACCCTCACCACCCTCACCATCCTCACCACCCTCACCACCCTCACCATCCTCACCACCCTCACCACCCTCACCATCCTCACCACCCTCACCACCCTCACCACCCTCACCACCCTCCTCACCACCCTCACCATCCTCACCACCCTCACCATCCTCACCACCCTCACCACCCTCACCATCCTCACCACCCTCACCATCCTCACCACCCTCACCACCCTCACCATCCTCACCACCCTCACCACCCTCACCATCCTCACCACCCTCACCATCCTCACCACCCCCACGCCACCTACGTCTTTCTTCATGCTCCGCGTCTGCCTGAAAGCCACTTCGGGCGTCCTCCGCTTGCGTGCCGTGTTCACTTGCGAGCCTGCTAACTCCATACAATCCCCTTCCGTCCTCACCACCACCACACCACCCCCAACATCCCCCACACCACCGCCACATACGTCTTTCTTCATGCTACGTGTGTGCCGGAGAGCCACCTCCGGGGTCCACCGCTTGCCCGGCTCCACCAGCTCTCGGAACGCCTCCCCCAGCGGTGCCTTGGAGGGGATGAGCAGCCCAATGGCCTCGCCCATAGACGGGCAGTCCAGCCACCCTGGGAGGGGTATTTACAGTTGGGAAAAGAAAAGCTGATGCCCGCCCGGCTCCACCAACTCTCTGAACGCCTACCCCAGTGGCGCCTTGGAGGGGATCAGCAGCCCAATGGCCTCGCCCATAGACGGGCAGTCCAGCCACCCTGAGGGGGGTAGGGAAGACGGAGGGAAAAAAGAAAAACCGTTAGAAAATACACAGGTGGAGGGGGAAAAGGGTTACCCGGCTCCACCAGCTCTCGGAACGCCTTCCCGAGCGGTACCTTGGCGGAGATGAGCATCCCAATGGCCTCGCCCATAGAGGGACAGTCGAGCCACCCTGAGGGGACAAGAGAGCAGGAAAACAAAAGGAGTAGACAGATCAGATCAAATCAGATCAAATCAGATCAGATCAGATCACGGACAGGTGGAGATACAAGCTAGTCTTTCCAGCTCCACCAGCTCTCTGGACGCCTCCCCCAGCGGCACCTTGGCGGGTAGAAGTGCAAACAGAGGACCGAGTAAAACTCGGCTCGTCTTGGTCAGGACTCGGCTGAAATGTTTTTCCGGTTTAGCTTGGGGGTGGACTCGGCAATCAGTCCATAATGGACGATCTATATGAAACTCGCTGAGTGCTTTACAAAAAACCCGGCGAGCCGAACAGAAACAACGACAACTTTATCTGATTTTAATTGAAACGTAAAGTTGTTGGATCGCATGGCAAACTGACGCTGGCAAAACATACACGATGGAAGGTGAGACGAAATATTGCTTACTATCTGCTGACGATACTAAACAGTGATTCGTCTTACCTTCCATCGTGAACGTCTTTCAAGCGTCAGATGCTCATGCAATCCAACAACATTGCGTCTGAAATGTAATCAACTTCCCATTACGAACACATATATCGAAAAAACGCCACTCGTTTGGCTGTGTCGAAGGCATACGCTGATTACGAATAGCTATTAGGCCGCGACACGTTGGAAGGATGCTTCTAAAGCAGAAGCCTAATACTGTAGTGTTCGTTTTCTGTCATATGAAGCACCTCGCAAAATGTAGCGGCAACTTCTTTTTGAAACTCGCGAGTCCAATAAAACCCACGCAGCGTGCGCGAGTCTCCAACGAGTTTGAAAAAAAACGTCGAGTGAAATGAAACTCGGCTCGCATCGGCCGAGTTTTTCCAGCCGATCATCGCACTCGTCACTCGTCCCTAGACGAGTGCAGGGAACGAGTCGAGATTTAAAACTCGTCCAAATGCACATGCCTGCCTGCCTGCGTGCGCACATGATGGCGATGAGCAGCCCCATGGCCTCGCCCATAGACGGGCGCGCAATCCACCCTCGTGGGGTGGGGAGGAAGCACGACAACAAAAAAACGTTGGAAAAAAGACAGGTGGAGGAAGAAAAGGGGGGGTTGCCCCGCTCCACTAGGTCCCTAAACGCCTCTCCTAGCAGTAGCAGCCAAAAACGAGACAGACTCACTGGTCATCACCAATTGGGGGAAAATTGAAGGTTTCTGGGCCGATTGGAACAGACTATCACGCAGGGGTGCTTTTGAGTCGGTCATACCCCGAATGGGTTACGGGACATACCATCACGCAGAACTGAACAGAACGGCACGTACCATCAGGTAGGGGCCCACAGGACGGCCTCCTCTGACCCCCAGACGCTCGGTGCTCCGACCCGCCACCCTCCCCATGGTACCCATTACCCCCACCCCCACCACCACCCCCACCGCCACCACCACCGAATCCAGCGCCAGCGCCGTCAGCGGCTCGCCTCTGGCGCGCTGACGGGCGGCCCTCCTTCTCCTCGCGCTCCATGTTCTTGCGCTTCATCATCAGCATCCTCTCCTGCCGCTCCTGCTCATGGAAAGCAGCACGGTGACATGCAAAAAGGTGACACGTGAGGGATGCACATATCTCCTCTCTTGCCTCTCATGGAATCATCAGCATCCTCTCCTGCCGCTCCTGCTCATCAGGTACTAACGCTCCGTCCTCTTCCTCTTTGTCACCAGCATCCGCTCCCCTTGCTCCTGGGGATGAGAAGGGGAACACCTAATCCTCTCTCCACTGTATCTGAAACCTCCTCACGCTTCCCGCTCCTCCGTTTCAAACCAGCTCCCCCCAGCACCCCGCAGCTCCCCCCAGCTCCCCGCAGCTCTCCCCAGCTCCCCGCGTCTCCCCCCAGCTCCCCGTAGCTCCCCCCAGCTCCCCGCAGTTCCCCCCAGCTCTCCCCTGAATGCGAAAGGCTGTAGACGCTGAGGTCGTGGCAAAACAATTTGCATATGTTTTTAATCCGGGCTGCATGAGCCTTTGCAAAGGAAACCACGCGCTGCTAGCCGAGACTTCCGGAGCAACCTTGCCTTTGAAGTTGGTGTCACACACAAGCTTTTGCGATAACTCGAGAAATTAAAGCCCTCCGTTCTTCTCAAACATCCCTACGAGCTCCAAACGGCATCCACGGCTAAGCGCGGAGATAAGCGGAGTAGTTAAGAAAGGCGTGCATGCGATAGTGTGACGAAGAGTGCAAGAAAACGGGATAGGAAGTGTGTGCATGTTGTGGAACGACACAAAACCTAAATGGTAGACGCTTTCCTACTATAACAACACCTGCGTCCTTCACGTTGATACGGCGGGTGCTCTCTGTTGTGAAACGACATGGCGCCTAAATGGCGAACGGTTTCCATGACAGCATCTGTGTCCTTCTATAAGTTATAACATGCAGCTGCGCACATCTTCCCATCTCGCTAATCCCAGACGACGCTAAACTTAGCCTTGAGACACAGAATCAGTATCGGTGGTGATTGCGTACCCGCATATACACCGCAGAAACGGACTCTTCGCCGCCATTTTGCTCCTCTTGATTCATGCTTGCAGGCCTCTAGTCCAATTAAGTCATAAAGCAGCGAAATAACGTCTGCCTGTAATTCTTTTCCTGAAATCCTCCTGGTTTTGGAAGGTGCTTAGGTAAGGGAAGCCACGCCGCCTAGGCCTAGCCCTTGAAGCCAGATACTGAAAAGGAGCTTGTGTGTTTGGGGTATATTCCGTTTCTGACGCCTCCACGCACGCTCAAACATGCATGTGGCGGGGAGAAAATGTTACAGCCGGTAACCAGGGCGCGTAGTAGAGTTTGTATGAAACGTTCTTTATATGCTACGTGAAGGAATGCGTTGGATAGTTCCTTACTTCGCGTCCCTGCTCAGCGCGTACACCACTGTTCCCGCCAACAACTCCCAACAGTGCACCGTTACCACTCGCGACACTCGCCTCGACCACTATTCCGCCACTGTTCACGACGCGACCCAACCTCACGGTTCGGCTGGTAACCCGCGCTCCTGACCTTCGCCTCGACAATTCCCAACCTCAGCGCTAGGCCCGTAGCGCACCCCATTTTCACACATTACCGTTACCACTCTAGATTCACTATAGATTCACGTTGACGCAGGAGCAACTTGACCTGCTCGTTCGTCAACTTGAGGATTCGGTGCTCGAAATCGCGACACTCACGGTGGAACGTGACTCCGCCCGCCAGCAATCAACGATGAATGCACCAGCACCAACACTAGCACATGCAAATGCCCCTGTGCAATCGGATGAGCCGATTGTCATCTCATCCGGCACACCGTCACATCACGACAGTGTGGAACAGCGCTCAGGCGCAGCCAGTAATGGCGTTGCCCAATCAATGCCCGGCGTGGAGAGAAACAGGGTCGCACCAAACACGAGCGGGCCTCGCGAAGCCCGTCGTCACATCGAATTCGCAGAAACGAGCGGTCACGACAACATCGTCGCACCGATGCCGCTCAAGTCGCAACGCCCGCCCTGTTTCGACCCCAGCCAACGTGGAGGTCCGACGGTTCAATCGTGGGTCTTCACGATGAACGTCTTCTACGACGCGAATTACGCGAGTCGGACACATCGAAGATACGATACGCCGTTTCGCTGCTACGGGGCCCCGCTATGGACTGGTGGCGAGTCATCGTGACGTCGCCACGCGCATACGAGCCGCCGTCGCAAGAGGAAGGGCCCACGGGTCCAGCCGTCACGTGGAGTTCATTTTGCGAAACCGCCCAGTACAGCACGTGGGATGCGGGGTGCGCAGGGCTTCGGGCGCGCTTCGAGCCGATCGCGGCTTCTATCTCAGCGAGTGAGAAACTGCGTACTTAGCGACAACTTGGGTCGGTCCAAGATTACACGAACGGTTTTCTCACATTATGTGAGGAAGTTGGCTACATGCATGAGGCGGAGCGGGTGGACCGTTAGGTCGGAGGGCTGAAGCCGGACATCTCGCACGAAATCATGCTACGCAGGCTATCTAATTTCAACGAGATCCTCGCGCTCGCCAAGAAAATCGACATTTTGCGCCCGTCCGAGACCGAGGTCCTACTACGGACCTCGCTCTCGGGGGCCGATCGAGCACGCCACCGTACACGCCATTGCGGTGAATGCAGCTGCTGCGCCATTTAAGGGGCGCTGCTTTGCTTGCAATAGGTCGGGCCATGGCAAGAGTGAATGCCCAGAGGAGCAGAGACGCCGCGGAGCAGAGCAAGGGAGGGAGTCTCAGAGGCAGGGAAACGTCAGCAGCCAAGAGAAAACGGGCCAACTACTGACGAGACAACCTGCTCGCCCAACCTTACCGACCCTCACCGAGTCACAGTACCGATTCACGCCATCGATCAAGGTCGGATAAATAAGGAGGGTACAGCGACGAATTGCCCAATACTGATCCACGGGAAAGTACAGGGGACAACAGTGAAGATTTTTATAGACGGAGGAGCAAGCCACAGTTTAGTTAATACCGCGACTGCACTGGAGCTGCAACTGACACGTAGCCGTTGTTTACCGAAGATTGATGCGCGTTTACTTGACGGCACGCCACTGGTAATATGGGAGAGGGTGGAGAAGGTGAAAGTTCGCTGCGGGGGGAACTTCGGGTTTACACAGGAAATGCTCGCGACGACACTGAATGGGCACGACATATTACTGGGGCGTGATGGGTGCAACGCTACAACTCACGAATTGACTGGACGACGGGTAGCTACACTGTGCGAAGTAGTGGTCATTGGGTCCAACTACCTCGCTGGCGGTCATCCGAGTCTTCAACAGTCCACGTCAACGCCATTGTCAGATTTATATGACATAGATACTGTAGGCTATAGTGGGGTAGCACATATGGGGTATAGTTTTCTTAGGGTTTGTATTTGTACCCCAACTTTCCCTTAGTCACTTTCATTCCTTGTTTATTTCACATGGTATAGAGCAGGTTCCCCTGTGGGAACTGTTCCTAGGGCCCACCAACTGAAAATTTTTTTACCTGCCCGGAGATCGAGTCGCCCCAGCCCGAGGCGCGCCCTGTGTGCCGCTCTCCCCTTAGCGACCCGTCGCGCCGCCCTTGGCGGCCCACCCTCTCTCACGGCCCCTAGCGACCCCGTCGCCGCCCCCTAGCGGCCCGTCGCGCCGCCCTGAACAGCCCGTCGCGCCGCCCTCAGCGGCCCCTTGCGGCCCTCCCTCTCACGGCCCCGTCGCCGTCGTTCGCGGACCCCCCCCCCCCCCCCCCCCGCCGCCCTTAACGGCTGCGTCGCAGCCCGTCGCGGCCCTGCAGCCGCTCCTCGCGGCCTCGTCGCCGCCCTCTCGCGGCTGCAGTAGCGCGTGCTGCTGCTGCCGCCTCCGCTGCTGCCGTGATCGCTGCCGCCGCTGCTACCGTGGCGGCTGCCGCCACTGCTGTCGTCACAGCTGCCGCGGCTACTGCTGAGACAGCCGCCGCCGCCGCCGCCGCTGCTACCGTGATTGCGCCCCCGCCGCCTCTTCTCAGTGGCCCCGCCGCCTCCTCCCAGCGGCCCCGGACGCAACCCTCTCAGCGGCCCCGCCGAGCCGCTCAGCAGCCGAGCCGCCCAACAGCCGCGCCGCCGAGCTGCCCAGCAGCCGAGCCGCCAAGCTGCCCAGCAACAGAGCTGCTGAACTGCACAGCAGCCAAGCCGCCGAGCCGCCCAGCAGCCACGCCACCGAGCCGCCCTGCAGCCGAGCCACCCGAGCCGCCCGGCAGCCGAGCCGCCCAGAAGCCGAGCCGCCGAGCCGCCCAGCAGCCGAGCCGCCGAGTCGCCCAGCAGCCGTGCCGCCGAGCCGCCCTGCAGCCGAGCCGCCGAGCAGCCGAGCCGCCGAGCCGCCCTGCAACCGAGCCACCCGAGCCGCCCTGTCCGGTAAGAGCAGCGCCTCTTTCACAGCACTGCCCTCACCCTACTGTTTGCGCTGCTAGTCTACTGCTGTCATGGCTACCCCTAGTGTCCTCGCTTTTGACGCTGAGGGTCGGGCCATTGACTTCGACGTCTGGATAGATGACCTGCAGCTTTTCTTACAGTGCGACAGAGCAGACGGCCTCTCCCTCTTTGACCTCACTTCTGGTGCCTCCCCTGCCCCCGCTGCTGATGCTGACGCCACTGTTCGCTCACAGTGGGCCACGCGCGATGCTGCTGCACGTCTTGCTGTGCGTCGCCACCTGCCTACCTCTGAGCGCGCACACTTTAGCCAGTACAAGAGTGCTCACACCTTGTACGACGCTGTCGTTGCGCGCTACTCCTCCCCTGCCACTGCTGCACTGAGCCGCCTCATGCTACCGTACCTCTTCCCTGACCTTGCTGCCTTTCCCACAGTCGCTGACCTCATTACGCACCTCCGCACTAGTGACACTCGCTACCGCGCTGCCCTTCCTGCTGAGTTCTGCGCCAAGAACCCCCCCCCCATGTACATCACCCTCTACTACATAGTCACCCGGCTCCCTGGCTCCCTTCGCGTAGTCAGAGACCACTTCCTCTCAGTTTGCCCCACCACTCTCACCGTTGATCTCCTCGAGAAGGCCCTCCTAGCAGCAGAAAAGAGCATAGTAGCTGTAGGAGCCTCTCGTGGTGACCCTCGCACCCCCGTCTTTGAGGGGTGTTCCCCCTCCCCCCTTTTGCCCTCTGTTGCCTCTGCTGCTGCGGCCGACCTCGTTGGGCTTGAGTCGGTCGGTGCGGCGTCTACCCCTAGCGGGAGACGCCGCCCTGGCAAGGGCAAGGGGGGCAGGGGCACTGGAGGAGCTAACGGGGGCGGTGGAGGCGGCGGTGGAGGCGGTGGAGGGGGTGGGAGTGCCGGAGGGGGTGGTGGCGGGGGTGGAGGGGTCGGTGGCGGCAGTGGAGGCGGAGGCGGCGGCGGCGGTGGCGGTGGGAGCGGAGGTGGCGGCGGTGGAGGAGGCGGCGGCGGAGGAGGTGGAGCGGGTCGGGGTGGTGCTACGCAGAGGGTCGGCTCCGGTGGTGGTCAGCGCCAGCAGCAGCAGC